ATATCACCAAAGCGCTTGTGCCAGGCTAGGTGCATTTTGAGGCCTCGATAACAGTGGGAGGCTCGCCGCTGGCAAGAGGTCACGGGTCAAATCCAGGTGTTACGGGTTGACGATGACCGGCAGATGCACCCACCCGTGCCACCCACTGCCACTGTGCCGTGTTTTAGGTATGTAAATAAAAATGTCAATACATTTTATTTCTCTCATTTGAAACACATTGAAACAAGCACGCAATAATCTATTGATAGCTTTGTATGTGAAATATTTGCCAATGTTGCTATTTTGACATTTGTTTACATTATTAGCGTCAATGTAAGTGTAAGTTTTAAATTTTCTTACGCTGTTCATTTTTTTTTTTACGAAATGAAAATAATCTCACAGGACATTTATCGGAGTTGCAACCACAGAATGTAATGCGCCCGAGGGGATGACTGCCGGGGAGATGGAGTGATAAAATCAGTTCACGTGCTGGCACTGGGTTGACTGTTGTCACAGGAATCGTGGGAGGTGGCCAGCAGCTTGGGGAGGAGACCTTCATCAGCAGTGGACTGACCTATGGCCGATGTTAATTTTAGGCGAATTAAGCAAAAAAAACGATAACAATGGGACAATTATGTGAACAATACAGTAAACAATAGACACAAAAATGTAGCTTATCGAATCAAATTACAAATCCGGTGATGATTGATGGAATCGCTAAGGGTGATGAATCCTTAGATTTTACACACGCCGAATACACGGGCCGTGTTCGAGTTCTGTATACACGAGCTTTAGACTTCGCCAACAAAAACTAAAAAGGTGGTGAAAAGCAAGCGACAGCATCCGTCGCCGTAGCATGAGATCGACATCCCTATCCTCGCTATTCCACGTCTTCCGAATCGTACTTGAAGTCTTCCAAGATTTCGCCGATTTTTTCCATCACCTTCATCAGCCTGCGTTTGCAGAGGGGGACATTAAACAGCTGTTGAGATCATTTAAGAGGGACTTCAATATTTCAGACTCCCTGCGATTGGCCATCAATACAGCTGTACAAATTACAATGTGGATGTATCTCAAGAAGCTGTACAGAAACAGTGGGTTTTATTTATTTTATCGCGAGAGTCATCCAGTCGTCATAGGCAGAGAAAAAAAAAACACATTCATGCGGAGGGAGCTGGTAGGAACGTTGGGTTGCTCGGTCAATGGCCAGGGTAAACGGCGGCGTGGCGTATTCCGCAAATATGCCCGACTGTGAGGGGGGGGCACAAGCCGGCGTGAGTAGGTTAAACGTTGAGTTTTATAAGGGCACCACGGGGTGACCAGCCCCTCCCCTCCCCACCCAGCCCCACCCCTCCCACCCTCCCCACCCAGCCCCTCCCTGCACGACGGACACAATAATCCCCTGTGGGCTGGTGTAACCAGGAGGTTTCTACCAGTATTAAGTCATGAGCCTGGGCTTGAACAGGGGCAAGGAGTGGACAGCAGAGATGTGGACAGCAGAGATGGCTGAGGGAAGGCAGAGTTCCATCGGCTAGTAGAGTCACCCTCCCACTGAGCAAAGGTTGTCTGGAGGCTACGACAGACGCCTTGGTTGATGGAGAATAAATTCCATGGGCAGGAGTAGAGTGAGATGAAAGGTAAAACGTGCATTTCCCATAAATATGCTAAATTCATATTGATATGCAAATTCATTTGTCAAGGCGCTCTTCCCCATCCAACCCAGCTTAAATATACGCTGTCAAGCTTGGTGGTGTTCATTCAGACGCTGTTTTTCCGACAGACCTGTTCTTCATCTGAGGACGGCTGCTTGCGTTGTGGCCAAAACGTCGTGAGAATTATTTTATTATATTTTTATTATTTCCCTTCTACATGACTTTACCGAAAGAACCAAGAAGATGAATCCCTACAGTTATGAAAGCTTTAAATCGAAATTTAGAGTGAAGGGCAGAGGTAGGACACCACGTGGACGGGAATAGAGTGAGATAAAAGGGAGGGAAGAGCCAGGAGATTGCATCCAATTGCGCGAGTAATAATCGATTTTTAGATGAATGCAAATGGGGCGGCGGAGATCCCACCTCTGAGCCACACAGACTCCTCAAGCGGTCTCAAGGGTTTTATCTCAAATGATCCTCACACCAGCCGCTAGCCGCCTCACCTCTGCCTGTAGAGGTGGACCTGATCTTCGTAGGCCTCCTCTCCCAGGTGCTCCAGCGCGCTCTGTTTCGCCAGCTGAAGCTGCGCCGTCTGTGTGGGCAGAGAGACGGCCACGAGGTGGGAGGAACGGGCGAGGACGGCTGTGGTTTAACACACGACGTTTATCGTGGTGGATGCAGAGGGCGGTGAAGTGGAAGAAGAGGCAAGGGTCCCCGGGATGGGAGGGAAGGGGAGCAGAGGAGGCAGTGAATGTACACAAAAGTGTGATACAAGTGAATGTATGTTGACATTCTTTTGCACCGTACGTAGCCAACCGTGCGAGTATTGTCATTGGCCACATAAGGAAATTGGAACCGCTGGGGTGGCAAGTTATGCCACCACAGACGGCACCGACAAGTGAAAAGTCTGGTCTGGGCTCGTCACCAAGCGGCCTACCAACTGGAGCTTTTCCTTCTCCGCGTCCTGCACGCGGGAGATGTGAGCCACCAGCTCGGCCCGCTCGGGCGACCCAACTCCAGGTGCTGCCCGCAGCTCCTCCTGCACCACCAGCGCCCGCCGCGAGGACTCCGCGAAGGCCTGCGTGGCATCGTGCACCGCCTGGCGGTAATGCGGGAAGTCGTAATCGGGCGCCGATCCCAGGTACGCGTCGTGGCTCCTGCAACGAGGTAAAGAATTGAGACCGGTGGGACTCCTGCCTCGTGGTGGTCCACCAACCCCAGCCTGGTCGATCATCAATCTGCTGCTGGATGAAGGCTTCTCCCCAAGCAATCAAAATCCAGCTTTTATTATTCAAATTCCACAGGTGAATATTGTTTGCAGATTTTGAACTCATTGTTAACAGATGTCCAGTAGACACAGATGTCCATCGTGACCACGGACCATGTGAATTAAGCGGCCATCCGTTTAGTACGTACGGATGGAGGGGGGAGGGTTAACCCAAATGCGTAAGCTTGCGTATGGGGTGTCTACTGACAATGTGCATACGCATAGGAAACGGGGGGGGGGGGGAGGGTGAAGCCTCGATAATAATTTGTCTACATTGGCCTTCAAATTAGTTACATAGTCCGGCGGTGGACTATCTGTTTGCTTAAACACGTTAATAATATTAATCCTTGATCGTTTCTGCGTGGATTAAATATCGGCCGTTCTATAGGATTCGGGGAGGGGGGGGGGGTGCGTCAAGCGAACGTACACAGGTGGGAGGAGTGTAAAAAGTACGCGTGCGTACAGGGAAGGGGGGGGGGGTCAAGTTTTGATGGATTTTTGTGTACGTACTAAATGGATGGCCCCTAAAAGGCACAGGCCATATGATATGAAGTGCAGGGCGTGTGAAACTAAACCACAGACCGTAGGTTCCCCACCCCAGTATTATTAATGGACCAGAGGATCCTGACGGGCACAACTCACTCCTCTAGGCGCTTGTAGGTGTCCAAGCGGTGTGCCTGCAGCGTGAAGAACTCCTGCACCAGGGCCTGAAGGCTGTGTCCCGTCTGCAACAGCAGCAGCACACCACATGCGCACCAGCGCACACACACGCAGTGCACACATGCAGCAGTAGACACGAGTAGTTGTCAAACACAGCTCCTGTCATACACCACAAACACGTACAGTACTTGCACAGCACTTGGCCATTCCACCAGGTGGTAGGTTTGCCTGTACGGACTTTAATGCCAGTGCCACGAAATGCCACCGGGGTGCCATCGGGGTGCCCCTGGGGTCAACGGAATTCACGAGGAGCCGGCAAATTCCGCAGCCGTATTTCGCACGAAAAACGATCGGCCAATACGAGCAAACCCACTGGGGCGAAAGTTGCATTTCCAATAGGCAACGTTTCAGGCAACAGGCCTCCTTTACAGCAAACGCGCCTCCAGAGAAGGAAATTGCTCTTCTTTACAGCACATCATTATGCTGCAGGCACACACATGAAGGGCTGTTGCCCGAACCACCCCTTGAACGCCGGTGTCATTGATGAACTTTGTTGAGCTTTTGTGCTCGTGCCGCACTGCCAACACAGCATCGCGAAATAACTTGGGAACGTGCGTGCGCAGGTATCCCGGTGGACAAATGATTAATTTAGGGGTCGTTCATTTCAGTAATTTTTTTTGCATTGTCGATAATCGCATACAACTAAAATAAATGTTTAAAAAAATCGCATTCTCAGCTCACCTCACTCATCACAATGTCTAACAATGAGTCCAGCTGTGTGTGTGCCGTGCCGGCCTTCATAAGTGCTGCTCGCTAACAAATGTGTTGGACACTTAGAGGTGTAACAATGCATCAAAACTACAATTTAAATTAAGCTCACGATACGAGCATTGAACTGCATTTGTTGCAATAAACGTTTGAGTTGTAATGTTGCATGAAAAGCATTAACATGACACTTGCAGCCACTACATTCAATTTAATTTGTATGAAATAAGATTTGTAGCATCGTGCCCCTGAATTGCGACGATGCATCGAATCGCTGCGGGAGGTGAATCGTTAACAGCTGTAAAGGGCACCGATTCAGAGGTCGGTGAAGAAGGCAATTTCCACTGACATACATACGGTGGAAAAACCTCCAATTTGAGAGATATTTTCCACCAATTCGGCCGCAGATTTTTATCTGGCGAACCACAATTTGTGAGAGGACACGAATCGAGCCTGAAGGACATTTTTTTTTTTACCAGAAGTTTTGAAGGTTGGTCCAAAAGAAAGTACACTTTCCACGTATTTCTAGCGGGTGGTTTTTACAAATTAGTTTCGTGGTTGAAAAGGGACATTCATGACTCACGGGCGACGTAAAAACATATGAATGCGGATATCCTGCAACTCGATTTGATCAAATCTGGTAGTGACGTTCAAGAACGAGCCACCAACGACACCGACCTTATTCCCGGTTTATTAAAAAAAAAGAGACAAAAAACATTCTTATGAGGTGATAAGTATCACGCGTACCGCTACCGCATGTGGTTGTTAAACAGAGTAGAGGTAAATCTCGTTGTTCTAACACGCTACTTGCTAAGACTACGGTAAATCAGTAAAAATGCCCAACAAAGGGGTTGAAGATTCCAATGGATTTGAAAATTATTTTGTAAAAATGAACATTTAAAAAAAAAACAGCACTACGTTTGTCGACGATGCCTCCCCAATTTATTTCCCAATATATATTTTTTATCGATTGATAAAATTTAAACGAATCGAGATATTTCTTATCGGGAATTACTTGGCTGGCCTGTGCTGCCCCTACCCACCGTACAGCCCAGATCCAGCACCCTCATCACACTGTTTTGACCCCTCTGAGGTAGGCAACACGTTGCAAATGACACTGCCGTATGGGACCCTGGTCACAAGTGGCTACGCGATGCTGGAAATTCCTTTTAACGCGACGAAATCCTGGCCGTGGTTCTGCTTTGATGCAAATCTATGGGAAAATACAGAAACTGTTACGTTCTTTATGCTCCTATGAACGATAATGTTAAATATTGTATCAGGACAATAATCAAAAGTTAATTCGAGGAGGAAAACAATTGGAGGTGTCACTTTGAGTATCCCTTGTAACAAGCTGCACCACACAAACTACAAACCCAACACACCTTGTGTTTACATTCCAGTGGTCAATGTGTGAGAAGACTCTACCCATCTTTGGTAAAAATGGGAGGGCCTTTGCACTTCTGTGAATTTTGTAGAATGGCGAGCAACACAAAATTTAAGATTAAAATATTCGAAGATTTGTTCCGCAGCACGACATGCTCGTGAAACAAGGCCACCGCGTACATGCGATGAAAAAACAACTCTTGTGAGACGCCAAAGAAACGCAAGAGTGCGTTAACGCGAAAACGAAAAGAAAAGTTGCCACGGTTGAAGATAAACCCGAGGCAGAATCGGTGAGGAGTCCGATTCGAATGCAGGGTGGTGAATGTGGGACCGATACCCACCAAAGATTAATGACACAACCTGGATTTACAGAGCGTTTAAATACGACCGAATCTCAGACTGCTGTATGGACAAAGTGGCCATTATTATTTATCGAGAGATGCGGTCAGTCATGGGCGGCAGAGAAGAGGTAGGTCTTGAGCCTGGACTTGAACTTGAGCCTGGCAGGGAGTCCACAGGACAGTTTGTCATCATCATTGGGTGGCTGGGAAGAGAAGGGACAGGAATCCAGACGAGGGGAGGTGGTGGGGAGAATGAGCGACCTCCCGATGAGTAAAGATCGACTTAAACAACGGCGGCTTCATTACGGTAGCCAGCACGTCGATCTCCTGACGGCCAGTGATTGGCGCTGCAGCCTCCTTAGCAGCACACATCGACATTCTTGAGCAAGTCGACGATGCCATCCTTGGTGAGAAACATCGTCTTGCCGTCGCGCGTGCGCAAAACCTCGAACTCGCCGCCCGCCTCCAGGGTCCTCTTGCCCACCACCACCACGTACGGCAGCCCCATCTTGTCGGCCTCCTTCAGCCGCTTGCCCAGGGTCAGCTGACCGCGGTCGTCCAGGAGCATGTCGCGTCGCAGGCGGGGGAACAGCTCGTCCAGCGTGTCGTAGAGATCTTCGGCCATTCGCATGCCGGCCACCTCCTCCTTGCTGCCCCACTTGGGCGTGAGGATGCACACCTGGGTGGGGAGGGGGGGGAGGGTGGCCGTGAAGAGGGCAGCATTATGGGAATGCAAGCTCAGTGGAAGTTTGAAGAAATACAACAACTTGCATTGATATCGCCCCCATAATGTAATGTCTCGTTTTAGGAGTTTTATTAGCCTAGGCGGACTCGTTTGGTGGCAGCTGTCCCTATGTGGTGCAAAGTGAACTCATCAACAACCCATAAGGGGTATTGGTCTGCCAGTACGGTTTAATGTTGCTCATGGTTTTTTTCACGCCGGCATTTTTGAAAAATGTTGCGTGGGTCTTTAACAATCCGCTACGATGGAGATAGTGCAGTATTAACAGGGGCAGCCGTTCGGGCTCCGACAGCAAGACACATGCTACTGCTCAGCCACGTTACCACAGGAGGAACAAGGAAGAAACATCATCACGACAGATCAACTAACAGTCTCGCAAAAACTCGCCACCCATCACTGTACCTGGTAGGGCGCGACGGGCCCAGGCCACCGCACGCTGTCAGCCGTGGACAGCACCTCCACGGCAGCCGCTAGGATGCGTGTGATGCCCAGGCCGTAGCAGCCCATCTCCATCGTGACGTTCTTGTTGTCGTCGTCGCAGAACTTTGCGCCAAACACCTCCGAGTAGCGCGTGCCCAGGTAGAACGTGTGGCCGACCTCTATTCCTTTCGACGCCACCATCCGCCCGCTGCACTTGGGGCAGCGGCACATGTAGCTGCCGGTCCCGCCGATTGTGTGCGTCACTTCGGTGCCGACCTTGTCTGCCGATCCGTCAATGTGAGACACGACCGTGTCGGCCGGCACGGAGAACGCCTCCATCATCTCCACGTTGATTGAAAACCCGCAGCGGCAGCAGCTCAGCAGCTGGTCCTCGCCCACGTCGGCCATGAGGTGGAACTCGTGCGAGGCCTTCCCGCCGATGGCGCCCGTGGACGCCTCGACGGTGGTGACGGGCAGGCCGAGGCGCGCGAAGATGCGGCGGTACGAGGCGAACACCTCGCCGTAGGTCTGCCGCGCCGTCCGCTCCGACACGTCGAACGTGTAGAGGTCCTTCATGAGAAACTCGCGGCCGCGCAGGAGGCCGTGGCAGGGCCGAGGCTCGTCGCGGAACTTCTGCGTCACCTGGTAGAGGCGCAGCGGCAGCTGGCGGTAGGACGCGACACCCTGCGCCGCTAGCAGCCGCGTCACCGCCTCCTCGTGAGTGGGGCCCAGGCAGAGGTCGGCGCCCGTGCGGTCGCGCAGGCGGAACAGCTCGCTGCCCATGAGGTTCCAGCGGCCGCTGGCGCGCCACGCCTCGGCCGACGTCAGGCACGGCATGCTGATCTGCAGGGGGGAGAATGCAACAGATCGTTAGGGGGGGGGTGGGGAGCAATTAGCAAATTGAGCAAGTGGCTCAGGTGGATACTGGAGTGAGTGATTTTCTGCTCAAATGAGCATTACGGCAGTGCTCATCTCCCGTTAACAAACCTGAACAAGTGGGAGAAATTCCAGAATTACCACTGTTGACTTCCCCCGTAAAGTGGTGTTGAGTTTATAGAGCCTAGAAAAGGCTACATTCATTAACAACGGCAAAAATAGAGAATCGGATCACGAGAGGGATAATATAATCGCTCTGACAGGCACGGCCACGCTTCCTGCTTCTTGACCAAAGGATGGTTTTGATCTTTCTTGTCAAATAAACTCTCGCGTATGTCGACGTTTAGCACGAAAAAAAATAGTTTTCAACACATTATTGCACATATTTTTTTTTACATGTAGATTTGGCAGCCAATATTAGGATTCACAACAGATTATTTTTGTTAAAGCCACTTAGCAATCTGGCCAGATTTGTCAGGTGATAGGATTTCACAAGAAGAATTTGGCTAGATCACAAGGTGACCCGATGCAAAAAAAATCTATTATGAATCATTCTTTTTTCTGACAGTTCCAAGTGCATGCCTGGTGGATTCGTAGTATTATTATGCTCTGCAAACACGCCCCTCACCCACAAAGACACAGGACACCGCACGTGGACGTTACCTTATGCCCGTTGATGGAGGCCATCTCCTGGTCGATGAGGCTCACCAGCTTCTCCACGGCTCGCACCGCCCTCGGCAGGAGGTGGTAGCAGCCTGGCGCGGCCGACTGGATCAGGCCAGTCTGCACCATCAGCCTCTGGCTCTTGCACGTCTGCTTGCCGTCCGAGTGGCCCTGCGTGCCGGCACCACCGGTGCCACCGTCCGACGCTGCCGGCTCCGTGGCGTCCACCGCGACGATGTTGGGATGGAAGAGGCGTGACACCAACTGCCTCTGGACGCGTTCCCTCTGCTTGCCCGTAGCGGCGTTCTTGTGGTTGCTCCTGGCGATGCTGGGAAGCATCGGACGCCTTCTTGGGTACAGAGTCAGCAATTTGCTCAACAGCTTCATGATGATATCTTCTCCGTTCCTCTTTTATATCTTGTCACAATATCTTCAACCTCCTTTTCAATTCTTCGATTATCTGGAGGGGGGGGGAGGGGTCTCAACACTGGAGGCAACCGATTATAATAAGAACTAAAAAGGTAAAAAAAAAGTCAAGGTGGAGCCCTGCGATAACTTGCAGAGGCCACTGCTAGCCGAAGGGCCTTCACCAGAAGGGAAATTTTTTGCCTACTCTTCCAAGCTGGCTCGGCGTCTCGGAAGAGTTGAGAGTACTCACACTTTACCCGACCACACACGACCTGCCTGTCCACTGACTGCGGCGCACCCTTTTATACTGCTGGGGTGGATAGGAGTGCAAGTGGGGGTGGGGATGTAAGAAGTTCGCATCATTGTTTCAACTGCTGGGCATACACAGAGGGGAAAAAAGGCCACACTGTCTCACGTGTTGTGTGGCCGGAATTAGTAGAAGCCGGCACCATGTGGTCTATGTAAACGCTGCTCTGTTGACCACCCACACGTGTCCCCCACAGATGGTTAAACAAAGGATTGTGTTTTAATCCCTGACCTTATATGGGTAAGTAGAAGGATGCGGATTTTAAAAGGCAGTGCCAATACTCAAGACAACAACGCCATGGTGTGAATGAAAACAAAGTTAACGTGAAGAAAAAGGCGACGCAATGGTTTTTGGAATGCATGTGATACACGTGAAACCTGTTAAACATGTAGGCTTTCACGACCAATATTATCCATAAGAGGTTTTTTTTGGGTCAGATCGCGTGAATATAAATGAACGAAATGGCGTGTTTTGTTCACGTGACAAACCTTACTATTTGACTGCGCTGGGTGGTGGTGGCTTTAACGACATATTTACGCGATCTAAACCCAAAAAATACTCTACTGTGGACGTGAAACCTGATTTACATTTGGGAAAACGATTCATTTTCATCGGAACGTTGGCTATCTGCCATCTCACCCAAGATGTGAATGTCGCTTTGATACTACATGTCACAAAACATGGCCCAACTTTAATCTTGATTTGAAGCTATCGTGACTGCAGGAATCCATACTCTTTGGTTCTTTCGGTAAAGTCACGTAGGTAGAAATAAAATCAATCAAATCACGTTTCGATCGCAACACAAGCGATCGACCGCTTGTGTTGCGATCGAAACGTCGTGATTTGTTTTATTTTATTTCTAACTGCGTGACTTTAACGAAAGAACCAAATAGTATGGCCCAACTTTGTTATTATAGCCTCCCCTAGGCGTGCCCAAATCACAAGGTTTAGCGCCTGATCCCATCAGATAGCAGAACAGAGGTCGCAAACTGGTTTTGATTCCTTACCCGTACCCGGCCGCACCAGGGTCGCAAACGGGTACCCGTACCCTACCCGATACCCGGCTACCTGTACCCGGCCGGGTATCGGGTAGGGTACGGGTACCCGATTGCGACCTCTGGAATGAAGCCATGTTGCAGGCGCGGGTGGGTTTATTCTCGGAACTTGAATTGTGAGAAGAGACAAGACGTTGGGAAATGAGTGACAAATGGTTACTCACCAGTGACTCACGGCTTACCCGTACCCGTACACGGCCGCACCAGGGTCGCAAACGGGTACCCGTACCCGGCCGGGTACGGGTAGCCGGGTATCGGGTCGGGTACGGGTATCGGGTACCCGGTTGTGACCTCTGTAGCAGAAGCTAAGTAAGGCTGAATCTGGATAGTGTTTGGATGTGCGACCATCGAGGGTAACCCCACAGACTGCTGTGGGTTTGCATCGTGCGCAGCAAAGTTCATGTATGAAAAAAATCAAGTGTTGTGCTGTTCTCCTCTATGCGCCCACATCTGTGCTGCTCACCTTCACCAACCCGCACTGACCAGCATGGTCGGGTATGGTCAAATAACCCCCATCACACTCTTCATGGCATGAAGAGGCCCTCATCCAGCAGTGGATTGACAAACTGGCCGTACAGGTACACACATAGCCGGACATCCAATGCTCTGCTTAAGTGTTACGCGTTAAAGGGTTCGACTTAGGAGCGCCGTGCATGTGCCCTTATACAGTATGACCTTAACGCTTGAACACCGTATGGTTGTTGTACAATAGATTACTCAAATCACGGTTTGAGCACAAACCCAAAATGCTAAACGTCAAGTAACAAACAGCACTATTGAAGCTGTAATACGTTCTGATATTTGACTGGGGGGTATAACTTTAAGGGCGTTATGAGCATATACTTTATTTTATCTTTAACCTCTTTATTAAATGTTGGTGGATGTTTATCTGTTGTTCTGCGGGTTGCGTCACAGAAAGTCGGACCCCCCCTCAAATATGACGTCACAAAGATCTGCCCCCCCCCCCCAAATTAAACATGCTTCAAATCGCTTTAAACTATTGTCATTGTAGTGCGTATTTAATGTGGCGTTGCACTGTGATGTTGTAGGAGAAACATTTATTCAAAAGTATTTAATTAAGTAGAACGTGTTGTCTATATTTATTTAAAGTTGCATTTTGATGTGACGTCACATGTCTCAAACCCCCCACCTCGTCACACATCGTCACAAATGTCTGACCCCCCCCCCTAGGTGCGTGACGTCATTTATGGACAGCCCCACAAAAAATTCTACAACTTTGCTCACGCTCGCATCATGTAACTCTGTATTACCACGAAGCTAATTCGGTACAAACAATGTGGTAAGAGCCCTCCGGGGGAGATGGAGCGATTAAATCGGCTCGTAAGCTGGTACGAGACGGATTAACAACACATCGAAAGCCGGGGGGGCCTTCATCCAGCAGTAGATCGACCATGGATGATCATTAAGAGAGCTAATTAGTGGCACAGCTCTGCGACACGTGTTTTCGGGTCGTGCCACGTTTTGTTCGGAGTGATGTCCGACGTTTCGCTCCCAGTGCTGGGAGCTTCACGTTATACACCGGGACCCCAGTAGCTTTCATCCAACAGTGGATTGATTGATTGACCGTGACCGATGACTACAATGTTAATTATATAAACAAACTATGCTAAACGGCGTCGCTCGTAACATTGTACATTTGTGAATATTTCATTGCTGTGGGGGGTAGGGGAGGTGATGCCAACGGCAATAATTCTTTACTTATCTAAAAAAATCGGTAACGGGACAACATTTAACACAAGGTGTACTATAACGTAATGAGAACGTGTTTTTTTTGGTAGGCAAGTAAAACGTTAATATAAAGGTTACATAACTAATTAGCAATAGCTTATGCAAGTTAACTAATTAAGTCAATCCTAAAGTTCATTGTTGGGTTGCAAAGGACACTTTCAAGGTTTTCACACACACACACAATTAACATTTCATCTTAAGTGGATGGGTGTTGTTTGATTTTAAATCAGTTGCTGAGGCACCGGTCCACAAACTCAAAACGCCAAGTAGCCAGCAACAAACAGCACCATCGAAGTTGCGATAGATTACAGCTCATATGTTATCTGGAATTAGCCAAGGTTATTCAATCTAGAGGACAGACTACGGATGTACTGCTGATCTATTATTATTTTAAACACGTCACAACCAACCAAACACTAACATTTCTATAAATTCAACTAAAATACACTTTAAGATTTAAAAAAATAAATGGTTCGGTCTCGGGGAACCACACCGCTCTGGGCTAGACGGTCTGCCGGGAAAAGGCGCGCCATCTCCCGCAATAGCCACAAGCACCACAACGGTGACACCGAGAGTTACTAGTGCGGCCTACAACACGTAACTCTTAAATTAGCTTGTTTTTTTTAAACACATTTAAATCGATTAATTGACAGCTGCGCGTCAGCAACCGCTTTCTATTTCGTCCCGTGAGCTAAGTTGAGTGTCGTATTTGTGACGTTAATCCGTGTCATTTCTTACCATGTTGGAGCGCTCAGAGCTTGCAACGAGTGAGCGTGGCGAAGCAAAACGCCCCTCAGTGACGACACGAGGTCAAGGAATTCTATGGGATGAATGATCAATTGAATTACACTGGTCAACAACAAAAACACTTTTTTTTTCTGGCCTGGACTTTTGCAGCTGTTTTAGACTAATTTCAGGGTGCTGATTTCAAATCTGATCTCAGATTTGCTCTATCACATCTCATTTTTAAATCCTTTATATTAAGTTCGCTTGCTTGCTTGCTTACGACCGTGCGAATCTTTCGGTCGTTTTTTTAACCCACTTCCCGTGATCCAATCGAGCTGACATTTTGCACACAGACTCGTTGTGCGAGACAATTAATTTTCGTGAAAGAAAAATTCCAAAATTTTACACTGTTTAGGGAATATTTTAAAAATATTTAATTACCAATTGCTTAATGGTGGCAAACAATCATCTGACCCATAGGTGGCAGCCATCTCAAGCCAGACGACGAGAGGACTCTAGCCGCCACGCATATAAAGGATTTATAGTGAAAAACTTTGTTTTTACGGGTTAAATTTTAATGCTATCGGTATACCCCATTTTCATTGATTTTACCCGAAATTAACTCTGTCACTTATGATTGCAAGTTGTTGCGAGTCAGTGACTGCTTTAGTGTTAAAATATGGTGCTGTATTTTTAGGATAGTGTGTTTATAATATCATTTTATGTAGATATCCACATTTACTTAATATTTTTCTTCTGCAGTTTTTATTGAAAATTCAATATTTGATATCTCAAAAACTGATGCCAAATTTGGAATCAGCACCCCAAAATTACCTTAAAACCGTTGGAATACCTTATGCCAGAAAAAGTGTTTTGACCAGTGTTATTAATAATCGATTTATAAAATTGATCAATAAATATCTGTCACAGCCTCGATTCGCTTATACAGTACTGTACTGAATCATCGACGAATCGCATATCCTGTCAACCCGTACGATTTACTCCGTATTATTGTACAGGGTAATTAAGTTTTCATGTCAACACGGGCAATAACAAGAACATTATACAGTAAAACCTTGGATTGCGAGCATAATTCGTTCTGGAAACGTGCTTGTAATCCAAAGCACTCGTATATCAAAGCACTCGTATATCAGTTGTGATCACGTGACGCTCGGCAGACAAAGCGTATACCAGAGGTCGCAACCGGGTACCCGATACCCGTACCCTACCCGATACCCGGCTACCCGTACCCGGCCGGGTACGGGTACCCGTTTGCGACTCTGGTGCGGCCGGGTACGGGTAGACCGTGAGTCACTGGTGAGTAACTGTCACTGATTTCCCAACGTCTTGTCTCTTCTCACAATTCAAGTTCCTAGAATCAACCCACCCGTGCCTGCAACATGGCTTCATCCCAGAGGTTGCAATCAGGTACTCGACCGGGTACGGGTAGCCGGGTATCGGGTAGGGTACGGGTACCCGATTGCGACCCTGGTGCGGCCGGGTACGGGTACGGGTAAGGAATCAAAATCCATTTGCGACCTCTGGCGTATACACGTGCTACTCGTATTGCAAGACCTCGCTCGTTTATCAAATTCATATTTTTAAAAAAATTTGCTCGTTTTGCAAAACACTCGCAGACCAAGTTACTCGCAATCCAAGGTTTTCCTGTATTTGTGTTTCTCACCTTGTGATGGAGACTTTGTAGGACGTTGATATTTATAAGGGCAACGGGGTGACCAATAAGGTCTGAATTAATGACTACAATTTAACAGAACAGTTTCGGTGTTGGCTGCTCTGTTTTTTGTGTATGCATTATTTCTACGTACTATTGTTTGGGGCCGTCCATAAATGACGTCACGCACCTAGGGGGGGCGGTCAGACATTTGTGACGATGTGTGACGAGGAGGGGGGGTGAGAAATGTGACGTCACATCAAAATGCGCAACTTTAAATAAATATAGACAACACGTTCTACTTAATTAAATAGACTTCTTAATAAATGTTTTCTCCTACAACATCAGAGTGCAGCGCCACATTAAATACGCACTACAATGACAATAGTTTAAAGCGATTTGAAGCATGTTTTTTTATTTGGGGGGGGGGGGGCAGAGCTTTGTGACGTCATATATGAAGAGGGGGGGGGTCTGACTTTTTGTGACGCCGTGTGACAAAGGGGGGGGGGGGGGGGGTCAAAAATCGTCCAAAATCGCGTGACGTCATTTATGGACGGTCCCAAAACACAAACAAATTGACACATTTTTCAATTTTATGGCTGTATTAAAACGGCTGTACGCTGTATGGACCTGAAAACTATATTTCCTTGTAGAAGAATACGGGTGAACCGTATGGGTTGACAGGTATGAGTATAAATACAAATTCTGATTCTCATTTAGTGCAGTACAACAATGGATTGCACTGCCTCCTGCTGCCCGCCACGCGTTATACACGACGCATGACGTCACCACGTAAACATAACATTACGTAACCGCGGTTATAGCGGCGTGACGCAATGACGTCCTGGCGTGACGTAATGACGTACTTGGCGTGACGTAATCACGTACTCGGGTTGATGCGCGATAATTCAAAGTGGTGTGACGTGACGTCGTTGTTAGGCACGTTGACGTCGTTGTTAGGCACGTGACGTCGCCAACGCCTGGTAAATGACGTCATCGCGCACGCAGAGTGCCCCCCCCCCCCAAAAAAAAAGAATCAGGCCGAGATTAAGAGGGAGGAGGCGATTCTCGGGGAATCGATTTTTTGGGGCGTTCAGCGTTAACATCGATTCGATCCAAGTCAACACATAGCGTCCGCAAGAGCTCCAGTCGATTCCTGTTACTGTGATCGATTCCCGAATCGACGAAGCATTTTTCCCCCCCCCCTCCCCGCCTTACCACATTGAGAGAATAACTATTCGGAATCGACACGCGCGCGATTCGTGCCGAGTAATCGATTCGTTAATTCAGGCCGGACCCTTCACACGCTCGCGTGGACACGGATGGGGCTGGCTGTATTAGGTCGCCAATGGTTTTACAGTAAATCCCCCTGAGGTTATTTATTTATTTTTATTTCCGCGGTGAGGTAGGGTGGGGGGGCTTCTCTCACGGCGTCTGATAAACGGAGATGATAGAGAAGCAGCCGTAAAAAAAAAATCCAGCGGGAAAAAATATATTTTTTTACCCAAAAATCGGTTAAAATTTAACGAATGCTCGGTAGGTGAGAAATCGTCGTCGGTAACGCCAATTAGCGATTCTCTCCTCGTCGCATTCGTCGGCAGCTCACCGGCAGTAACCAGCACCATCATCATCATCGACGGAGCCCGTTCAAGGTAAGCGTGATGCTGTGGTTAAAAGGACAATCAAGCTAGCGTGTGGTTTGTAACATCACAATGGTCAGGCATTGTACAGGTGTGTGTGTGGTGTGTGTGCGGTGCTGTGTGTGATCACCGACACGAACGGAGAGACAGAGATACAACGCGGAAGTCCAGCACAAGTCCGGACGGCACGCTCTAGTAGCCAATTTAAAGCACGATAATCAGTATTATTAGCATGATTACATGGCTACATTGTGTGTTGTCCGTTTCGAATTGTTGCTGCGTTCCTTTTAATTCGAAGGTGTTGGCGGGAGTGGATGGCGCAGTGGTTTGTTGTACCGCGCCAATGCAAACCCGGGGGGGCCGCGTGTGTGACCCCGAGTTACACACCCAGAGCACGGCGGCCGTCAGTGGCGAGTGATACGCCGTGTCCGAGTCGCTGCCCTCAGCCACTAGCTGCCCTTGGTCACTAGCTGCCCATAGACACTCGCTGTCCTTAGACACTGGCTGCCCATAGACACTCGCTGTCCTCAGCCACTCGCTGCCCTTAGACACTGGCTGCCCTTAGACACTGGCTGCCCTTAGACACTCGCTGCCCTTCGCCACTGGCTGCCCTTCGCCACTGGCTGCCCTTCGCCACTGGCTGCCCTTCGCCACTCGCTGCCCTTAGCCACTCGCTGCCCTTAGCCACTCGCTGCCCTTCGCCACTGGCTGCCCTCGGCCACTGGCTGCCCTCGGCCACTGGATGCCCTTAGCCACTGGCTGCCCTCGGCCACTGGCTGCCCTCGGCCACTGGCTGCCCTCAGCCCCTCGCTGCCCTCAGCCACTGGCTGCCCCTAGCCACTGGCTGCCCTTATCCACTGGATGCCCTTATCCACTGGCTGCCCTCAGCCACTGGCTGCCCATAGACACTCGCTGCCCCTAGCCACTGGCTCCCCTTGGCCACTGGCTGCCCATAGACACTCGCTGCCCTTAGCCACTGGCTGCCCTCAGCCACTGGCTGCCCATAGACACTCGCTGTCCTTAGACACTCGCTGCCCTTATCCACTGGCTGCCCTTAGCCACTCGCTGCCCTTGGCCACTGGCTGCCCTTGGCCACTCGCTGCCCTTAGCCACTGGCTGCCCTTAGCCACTGGCTCCCCTTAGCCACTGGCTGCCCTTGCCCACTGGCTCCCCTTAGCCACTGGCTGCCCTCACTTGATACAGCTATCGGGCTGTGACGGTTCCACCTGAAGACGGAAGCTTGTATTGCCTCCGCAACGTCGTGATTTTAATTTTTTATTTTACTTTTATTAATTTTAATTTTTTACCTACGTGACTTTACCGAAACAACCTAAGAATATGAATCCTTGTAGTCAAGAAAGCTTCAAATCTAGAACTTAGCCACTGGCTGCCCTAATACACCCTTTTCCTGCCCTTCACCCATCCCGCAATTACCAACGTGGGTGAAGTCTGCTCAAACTGACCCCCATGACAGACGCGCCGTGGGGAGGAGGCCTTCATCTGGCTGTGTTGTTATGAATGAGTCGATGCTGTTTAGCATCGTCTCATACGGCTCTTCCTCACCATGTACAGTGTTTTGTGCTTTTAAATCACTTCGCTGTCTAACCCCTCCAATTTCAATGTGCCCTCAATTATTATTAAGGGCCCATTATAGCGATGATTTTAAATTTTATTTGTACTCACGATAGTGAAATCTTTTAATCAATGAAGCCGGGACGTGTCTGGCTAATCGCTGCCTCTGCTGATGCTGCGGTCTGGG